AAGCTTCAGCAAATCTCCACTTTGTGTTTTCAGGGACACTCCTCAGCTCCTTCTGAGAGCAACAGTGCCCTTGACTTCTCCCTCTTCTGCCAGGGCACACAGAAAATCCCAGTCTGCAGTAAAGCCCCTCGAGTGCACCAGGAAACATTCCACAGAATCTTTCAGGCTGGAAAAGACCTCCAAGATCAATTCCAACTGTTAACACAGCACTGACACCTTCACCCCTAATCCATGTCCCCAAGCACCACTCCCACATGGCTTTCAAAGAGGGATTTTAAATTCCCAGGGAATTTAAAAGCCCAAGGTGCATGAAGGCACACAGCTGGCATCCTGGGTGCAGAATTTATTGCAGATCTATCCCAAATCCAGTCCTGTTCCCTGCTCTCTGCAGTGAGACAGCCCTGACTGTTCACTACAGGCTCAGAGGGCCGAGGAGGAGGGAAGATCACAGGCAGAAATCCTTTCATTCCTGGGGAAGTGGGGCTCATCTGCCAGCACAGCCAGGCAAGACAAGCCTCAAGGTCACCCAGCTCGTTTGCCACATGCCAGCAGCAGACAAGTGGGAGCTAAATGAGATATTTTTGATCCCACACCCATTAAGTGCTTTCCTTTCATTTTGGCTTGAGGCTTCCTTAAGGTGGGAGGGAGCATTTTAACTGCAAAATATGAATGATTGTCACATCAGGCACTGTCCCTGCTAAGAGACTCACCTGTTTCTAGCACATTTCTCTTCCACTTATCACTAGAATAATTTAGGAAAGTCAGACTACACTGTAATCCCAAATCCCACCATGCTGCCCTTCCAGACTCGATCCAAACCCTTTTTTTGAAAGCTGCCTGTTTGCCTTAAAGCATCCCATGCCAACTTTAATCCACATTTTCCAGAGAAGACACAGAAACTGCCCCAAGCAAGGCAAAGGAGAATCACCACCTAATGCAGAGCTCTGAGTCCTCCCTCATTTTCATAACAGAGATCTCCCTCACGTCCCTGCAGCCTTTTAACAAGTCTCTAATTAACAACCTCACAGTCCTCTATTCCTATTTTTCACACCGAGGGCAGAAGGGAAGCTGCCTTTTTTCACCAGCAACCAAAAAAAGGAGCAGGAACACTCTTGAAACTTGCCATAAATATGGTAACAACAATGTCTCAGCACTGCCAGTCTCAGCTGAGATGCAGCAGAATCCTGATCCCTGTTTTCAGCCCAGATTCCTTGCTCACACCTTGCTGTGCAGGTACCAAGGAATTACACAGAAGCTGTTTCATTTTCAGGGCGTGACAATTTCCTTCCAGGAGAAAGGACTCCAGCAAAAGTCAAGGAATAATCTCTTGGTTATTCCTCAAATATGGCTGAAGTCAGGGACAGCCACGGCACCTGCACAGCAGCTCCTGCTGCTCCCAAAATGAAGGCTGCCATCCATTTTGCTGTTTCCAGCAGGACATTTACAAACATGGTTCTACGGATTTTTTTTTTTCCCTTAGAAAGCTGGTTTGATCTGTATCCAGCTCCTGCCAAACCTGCTGGGTTCTTCCTCCCAAAATTTAAACTATTGCCTCTGCTTCCACAGTTACCAGTCCAGCCCCACAACCTCAAATCCTGGTCTCTCCACCTGTGCTGCCGTGCCCCCTTCCTCACCCTCTGCCACCAGGTGCTTTCCCTTCCTTCCCACCCGAGGTCCCCAATTTTGGAACCCCAGCATCTGCCACAGCCCCATCCCATGTCCTGCCCCACCAGGCAGGTGTCACCTCACCCTAAACCTCCTAAAGCTTTGGAATTCAGCCTGTCCCACCCTTCAGCCCAACCTGCTGATCCCACGTCCCTGTCCCAGTGTGTCCCCACTGCGCTGTCCCCAAACCAGCCATGCCATCACCCCACAGTGCTGTTCCCAAGCTAATGATGCTGGACAATTACCACCCCACCGTGTCCCTCCGTGCTGTCCCCAGACCACGCTGGACAAGTCACCCCTGCCCCGTGTCCCCATGGTGTTCCAAACTGGGCATGCTGTCCCCATGCCACCACCCCACTCCCAGACCACGCTGGACAAGTCACCCCTGCCCCGTGTCCCCATGGTGTTCCAAACTGGGCATGCAGTCCCCATGCCGCCACCCCACCGTGCTGTCCCCAAACCATCCGTGCTGTGCCCATGCCATCACCCCACCGTGCTGTCCCCAACCTAGCCATGCTGTGCCCATGCCACCACCCCACCGTGCTGTCCCCAAACCATCCGTGCTGTGCCCATGCCACCACCCCACCGTGTCCCCGCCGTGCTGTCCCCAAACCAGCCGTGCCATCGCCCCATAGAGCTGTTCCCAGGCTGATGATGCTGTACAAGTCCTCACCCCGCCGTGTCCCTCCGTGCTGTCCCGGTGTCCCCACCCCTCCCCGCTGTCGCCCCCGGCCCCACCTCCCCTGGCCACGCCCCTTCAGCCACACCCATCTCAGCCCCGCCCACCCAGCCCCGCCCACCTGGCTCATTACCATAAGCCCCGCCCCTGCCCATCCCCTGAGCCCGCCACCGCCGCAGCCACCGCCCCCGGCGCGCCTGCGCCGCACGGCCCCGCGGGGCGGGACACCCCGTGAGGCGGCCGCCAATCCGCGCCCCCCGCGGCGCAGAGCGACAGGAGGATGCGCCAATGGGAGGCCGGTGTTGCGCGGCAGAGGGGAGCCGGGCCCGCCTCCTGCTCTCGGCCATGTAGAGTGACAAGCGCGGCTGCCCAATCAAAAGCGGGCGCTCGGGTGAGGCGGGTCGATATGCGGCAGCTCTGGCCTATGGGCTTCCTCTGGGCCGAGATTGACACGGCAGCCGCCCAATGACCGAGAGAGCTGTCCGGGTGGGGCGGGAGAAGGCACGGTGATTGACAGCTGGGTAACTATGGCAACGCGGGGGGCCGAAGGGAAGAACCGCAGTAGGCTCGGCTGGGCTGGGGCGCGCGGAGGGGCTTAATTTGAATATGATTTGCATATGCAGATGACGATGCATGTAGACGTGGGGCGCTCTGCAACCCACCATGGCGGGCCTGAACGGACCTTAAAAACCACCTCGTTCCACCCCTGCCGTGGCAGGGACACCTTCAATATTCCAGGGTGCTCCAAGCCCCATCCAGCCTGGCCTGGGACACTTCCAGGGATCCAGGGGCAGCCACAGCTTCTCTGGGCACCCTGTGCCAGGGCCTGCCCACCCTCACAGGGAAGAATTTCCTGCTAAGATCTTACAATCCTCAGCTCTCCTTTACACTCCCACACAATTCCAGTGTGGATACATCCCTGGTCTTTAAACCCTGATCCCGCGTTTATCAACAAGCACAGCAGGAAAACCCCTGGTGGCGGAAAAATTGAGGCAACCACGAAGAGGGGTGTGAGCAACAACCATCAGGATGAAAATTTAAAAGACAAACACAGACTGCCAGCCTAGAGGATGCCATGACAGCTCCCGTAGTGGAGATTCCCGTGTGGAATGTTAATTGTTGTCTGTCACGCCAAGCCCCGGTGAGCCAGGGTGCTCCTCACCTGCCCCGAGGTAATCCCAGCTCACCACAATTAAGGCATTAATTCGATACCTGAAGGATCAGCCACCAACATTCCACAAAGGCATGATCATTTTTCCATGAAAATTTGCTGAATCCTGGCTGCCAGAGTGAAAATGGGGACAAAGGGATTGGTCAAATTCAGTTGGTGTATTTTAATATCCTGTAGAGGAATGGATAAATGGGGTTGGCAGCGACAGGAGATAGAGGATGAGCTCTCTGAACACAAATAATCTCCTTCAGAGCAGCGTCGCTTTCATTTGGGTAAAAAAAGGAACTGGCTGAGCTGCCTGAAGCTGCTCTTTGAGTATTTCCAGCCCCTGCTGACTGTGTTTGACACACCTGGGCTGTAACAGCTGGAGCTGGGAAAGCAGAAGGTGAGGGAAGCTCGTGCCTCAGCTTTGGCACAGAGCAGAGCCCTTGGGAGCATGGAGAGGGCACAGGAAAGGGCTGTTCCCTCCCAAAAGCTTCCTGTTTGTCCCCACACAGCACACAGGGTGCTTTAAGGATGTTGGTGCCTCTGCTCTGCAGGTCAGGGCTGCTCAGGGCACAAGAAGAGAGGAGCAGCACCTCCAGAGCTGAGCCCTGAGTGGCTAAGGCAGCCCAGCATGGAAAAGGTGCCCGTTTTCTGGGCAGGATCCCAGCACAGAGTTCGAGCAGAAAACCTGGATGATGAACAAAGCAGCATCCTGGCCTGGGTGGGTACCAAGCTCAGCACACATCTGTGCACTGTGTCCACCTGGCTACACCCAGCCCCTTCTCCTCCAGCCTCAGCTCCTTGTGGATCTGTTTCACCCTTCAAGTCTGCAACACTTTGCAGATGATTGGTGCATTTCTCCTCACAGAACTGGTCTGGGCAAAGAGTTTGTGGTAATTAGGAGGCCAGCCCCATCCCTAGTGGGTTACAGCTGTGAAAAGCAGGTGACCAGCACTGAGAGTAATGAGAAAGAGAGTGCTGAGGTGTACTGCCCACTCACACAGGGAGCAGAGGGCACACAGGGGCACTGCATGAACGTGAGGGGTATAAAAGGTTGGGCTAAAGAACAAGAAGAGCAGGTGCATGCAGCTTTCTGAAGTGCCATGGTGTGACTGTGTGTGGGTGAATGCTTAAAGCCTTCTGAAATTGCACGGTGACACTCTGTATTGTGGCTGTGAATGTACTGCAAGAGTTCAGTTCCTCTTTGGTGACAACACCCTGACTTGTGCAGCTCAGCTGTTTGCTGCCTCAGGAACCATCTTCCCTGTTTTTATCCTGGACATCCTACAACCAACAGGAAGACCTGCCATGGTGGGCATCCTCTGGACCAGGTCCTGTGTTGCTCCAAAATGAGGTCTGGAGGCTGTCCCTGAACCCTGTCACCTCTTCCTGACACCAATGGCCTCAGTGTCACTGCCAACAGAGCCCTTCAGAGCATTTCCTCCAGGCACAGCATCATCGACCTCCAGCTCTTTGTCCCACAAATCACAACAAGTCAAGTGTGAAGCATCAAACCAATTTATTATAGTTAGTAAAAGGCTTTTTAGCCTGTTAGTAAAAGATGTGCTGGGACACAGCTCCCTCCTGCACCATCTCCTGCCAATGAGGCTTTAAAGTGCTACGTAACAACTGTGAAAATCCTGGCACTTCACAGCAGCAATCCGAATGTGCTTTCCCCAGGCTGAGGTGGTGACAAACCAGCTGTTTCACAAGAGAAATCCGACATGAAAAGGCAAAGCGTACAAGCTGTTGCTTAAATGTATGGAAAAACATGGGAAGAATCTCACAGGCAAGAAAAGCATCAGAGAAGAGGGCCTTGGCATGGATGCAGCTGGTTTGGGATCTCATGGATCTGCCCTGAATTACAGCAAGTGTGGAGAAGGCAAGTCCCTTCCTGTGCTGCCTGTCAGGGAGTGATAACCATTTTATCTGTAATGGGAAGAGCAGCCCCACATTCCCTCTCCTGGCAGAGGCTGAGTTTTCACAGGACTGTCCCTTCCTCCTTCAGCACTGAGCAAGGGATGAACACCTCGAGCTCTTCTGGAAAGCAGCCCTGACACACCACAGTCAGCACCTCCCTCCTGCATCTTTGGCTGTCCTTAGTTTTATGGAGGCACTTCTTGGATTTTTGGGCAGAAGGAAACTACTGGGAGGGAGGAGCAGCCATTGAGGGCTGATGGACCTTTCCCACCACAGGCCAAGCTCCAGGTGTGGTGGCTGCACCTTGCAGCCAGGCCCCAGAGGGCTGAGCTCCCTGCCAGCAGGAAGAGCAGATTTTGGGAAGCTGGGCTGATGGCAGGAATTCAGGATGAATAAGTTACTGGACACAGGGGGATGAGGGAAGTGATTCTGCTCCTGTGCTCTCCTCAGGTGAGACCCCACCTGCAGTGCTGTGTCCAACAGAAGGATGTGCAGCTGCTGGATGAGTCCAGAGGAGGCCACAGGACTGAGCCTCTGCTCTGGAGCCAGGCTGGGAGAGTTGGGAGTGCTCAGCCTGGAGAACACTCAGACCTTCCAGCAGCTTCCAGTATCTCAAGGGGCTACAAGAGAGCTGGAGAGGGACTTTGGACAAGGACCTGGAGACAGCACAAAGCGGAACGGCTTCCCACTGTCAGAGGGCAGGGATAGATGGGATACTGGGAAGAAATTCTTCCCTGCAAGGGAGGTGAAACACTCACACAGACTGTCCAGAGCAGCTGTGGCTGCCCCATCCCTGGAAGAGTTCAAGGCCAAGCTGAATGGGCTTGGAGCAACCTGGAGCAATGTAATTGCAGCTGCTGCTGCTTCACTGTATTTTGGAATCACAGAATGGCTGGGGTTGGAAGGGCCATGGGCAGGGACACCTTCCCCAAGAGCAGTCTGTTCCAAGCCCTTTAGGCACTGGAAGGTGCTGCAAGGTCTCCCCATAGCTCAGAGCACCTCAGACTCTGATATGGCCTCCCTGCAGTCACAGCTAATCCTGTTTGTGTCCCAGCCTGGCCAGAAAGTTTCTATACCCCTATCCCATAGCAACAGGAAGGGCAAGAACTCCACCTACCCTTCCAACCAAGCTCCAAAAATCCAGCTTAAAAATCAGACACCCAAGAACCTTTTGTGGGACCAAGGCTCCTTGAAGTTGGCACTGCCTGAAACATTCCTCTTAAAACAGAAACCCCTTTCCCTGGCTGGAGGGGGTGAAATGAGGCTGATCCTTGACAATGCTGGCTAGATGCAGCTCTTTCCTGACCCTCACGTTTATCCCCAGGGTCAGTACTACACAAAGCAATCCCAGAAAGAGCAGCAGAGCCAGAGACACCAAGGCAAACTCAACAGACGTCCAGTGGAGGCTGCTGCACCCACCCTTGGGCACATTTTCAACCCAAGATGAGCAGAGCCAAGAAAATCAGCTCTGCTGTTACAAGATATCTGCACAACCTCTCCTGGCTGCATTGCACAAAGGGACTGGAGGTCACCCTTTGGATCACCAGTATACGTTTCCCTGAGGCTTCCTGGGACCAAACAAGGAAGACATGGAAAATCACCATGAGTGCTTTCCTTTTTGACTCAATAGATCATTTTGGAGCAAGATCTTCTCCTCCAGGGGTGGAGGAAAAGAGAAGGCTACAGCCAAGATGGCTGGGAAATGGGAGGGAATGGACCCAAACCCAACAGCATCATGTACCAAGGCCTCTTCTAGCAGAACCTTCCAGAAAAAGATTTAACAACGCCGCGACTGCCCCCTGCTACTCTTCAGGCTTCAAATGCATTGGCCAAAATCCTGCTGCCAGAGGAATCCCCCTGGCTGTGTCACAGCCGTGGTGTCCCATGCACTATTTCCGCAGCCGGGTGTACACGGCGAATGCCACGGCAGAAATGAGACCGATGGCTGGAAGGATGTACAGCAGGGACAGGCCATTGCTGTCCCCCTTTGGGACTCTGGCCTGAGGTGAGCTGGTGGCAGCGTCACGGCCACTGCCAGGGCTGGAATTCAGGGAGCTTCCAAGGGCACTGACTCCGTCATTGCCGGCTCCAAGATGGACGCTGGGGTGATGATCCACACGGAGCTCGTGGGTGCCCAGGGAGCTGCTGTTCCAGCTCGGAGCAGGACAGGAGTCTCTTCTTGCTCCAGATGCCTCCTTTTCTCTGGGGGCTGCAGGAACTGAGGAGACTCTGGGCAGTGCTGCTCCTGAGCTCAGGCTATCCCTGCTCACCAGGATTGGGTCGCTGCTGAGGCCGAGGCTGCTGCAGGTGGTGGAACAGGGGTTGCTGGGCTCCTGAGAGCTCGGAAATCTGCCAGCCACCTCTGGGCTGCCCTGCGGCGTGGACACAAGGACACCTGGCTTGCTGAGCTCCTCTTCCCTCTCCTCATCACCGTGAGACACCCAGATGCTCGTGGCAGAGCTCACCCGGGATGCTGATCTCCCATCTCTCTCTTCGGAGCCGCCCACCACAGCTGTGCCCAGGGCAGGGTGTGCCGAGGCCGGGAGCACCTTTGGGAGACAAGGAGAGGGGCTGGGTGTCAAGGGAAGCACCCAACAGCCTGGTCTTGGGCACACAGGTCCCACACAAACCCACTTCAACACAGCCTGCATCCACAAGGCTGGGTCACAGGTAACAGGGAGGTGAAGGAGGGAGGGAGGCAGTGAGGAGAGCAGTGGAAAAGAGCACTTGGAAGCCAGGAGACTGGCAAGGCGAGGTGGGGAAATAAGGAGTCAAAGCCCAACAAAGTTTGGCTCCCTTCTCCCATGCTCCACCATACAGCATGTGGATGGGATTTTTTTTCCCACCACCACAGTGGGGGAAAAAAAAATCCCTGAATAAAACTCATCACCAGCTCACAGTGTGACACTGCAACAGAAAATCTCCTAAACGCGGGGAGTGCACAAGGACACAAATGAAATCCAAGTGGCAAGAGGAAAGGTCACCTACTTTCTCCTTCGTTGGCACAGAGGGGGTGCTGCTGGCTGTATTCCCAACAGGCAGTTTCTTCTCTTGCGTAAGAGACTTGACAGAGGTGTCACGGGATGGGAAAGTGTCTCTGGGCACAGGGGTAGCAGCCAGGGTTGTTTCCATCGAAGCACCTGTCACGGAGAAAATAAAGTGTTGTGTAAACCAGGGGCCCTAAAAGGTGAGACTTGCTCTTCCTCAAGGAAGCTGTGACAGCACAGTCCCCAAGCTGAGGGGGTGGCACAGGGAGCAGGACCCAGTGCCCTGGCTCTGCTGTGGCACCCGAGCTTTCCCTGCAGCTGCAGGTAACTCATGCAGGGTGGGCCGCAGGGCTGGGGAGCACCAAGGCAAACTGAGGCTTTTAAGGCTCCTGAAACTCCATGTCCTCCCAGCCAGGAGGTGCTGACCCCACATGGCAGAGGGGAAAGTGCTGGAAGGGCTGGATGTCTTTTTTCCCATTCCAAGACCTTGGTGTGGCCTGAAACTCCATGTCCTCCCAGCCAGGAGGTGCTGACCCCACATGGCAGAGGGGAAAGGGCTGGATGTCTTTTTTCCCACTCCAAGACCTTGGTGTGCAGGACAGGGCTTTATCCTGATTCTATGATCCCCAAAGGTGAGGGATGTAGGAGATGCTGAAATTCCCCCACATGCATACAAAGATCTCTGCAAATTAGGGGGAAGACTTTCACACCCCAAAGCTGCTCCACTGACAAAATTAAAATGCAGATGGATGAGATGACTGTTGTGGGTTCCTTCCAAATGAAACACTCTATTCTAGTCTAGTCTAGTCTAGTCTAGTCTATTCTATTCTGTTCTGTTCCAACCATTCCCCCAGCACTGCCAAGGCCACCATTAACCCATGTCCCCAAATGCCACATCCAAACGTCTTCTAAATCCCTCCAGGGATGGTGACTACCACTGGCCTGGACAGCTTTTTCCAGTGCTTGACAACCTCTTCCAAAAAGAAATTTTCCCTACTATCCAGCCTAAACTTCCCATGGAACAATTTTCCTCTCATCCTGTTGCTTGTTACCTGGAGCAGAGCCCAATTCCCACTTTGCTCCACCCTCCCAATTTTCCCTACTATCCAGCCTAAACTTCCCATGGAACAATTTTCCTCTCATCCTGTTGCTCGCTACCTGGAGCAGAGCCCAATTCCCACCTTGCTCCACCCTCCCATCAGGAAGTTGCAGAGAGTGAGAAGGTCTCCCCCAAACCTCCTTTTCTCCAGACTGAGCTCTCCCAGCTTCCTGAGCTGCTCCTCATCTGACATGCTCTGGAGCCCTCCCAGCCCCATTCCCATCTCTGGACATGCATCCCAGTTTCTTTCTGGCAGTGAAACTCTCAGCAGCACCTCCTGCTCCCTAGTGGCTGCCTGGTTCTGCCAGGAGGAAAACCCACCTGCACTCCCTGGGTGTTCCGGCAGCATCCCGACCCGCTTCCTCTCCACATCAAACTGCTCCTGTATGAGCAGGGGGCTGCGCACATCCACGAAGCTGCCCGTGGGCTCACCATGCCCAGAGCTTGGCACAGGCTGCTTTTTTGGCACTGAGTTTGGGGGCTGCTGCCCCACACCACGAGTGGCCCCCTCCAGCCCCGGCGGTGACTCCGTGGAGACATCCGAGCTCTCTTCGGGCTCGTTCCTGGGCTGCCCAGGGCTGTGAGTGGCACCTGCATCCCTCGACGGAACAGACCTGCCCAGGGCCAGGCCGGGCGTGCCGCGGTGCAGGTGGTTGGCATTCCCAAAAAACCCGTTGTCCACGCACACGGGCCGGCGGCTCAGCCAGTCCCGGCCCTGCTCCGGGGACACGGCTGGTGGCACGGCCACCTCTGGTGTCCCCACTGGCACCGGCACGGCCCCGGAGGGACGCGAGGGATTCCCCTCTCCGCTGTGCCCACCGCTCGCTCCGACAGGGACTGTGCTCCCAGCTGGAACTGGCTGGGGAGTCTCTTGCTCTGGGAGTTTTTTGGGGAGCTGGAAGGAAATGAGTTGTGTTAAATCACTGGGATGAGGGGGTTTGGGACCACGGGGGTGTCCCAAGCCCTGAGCAGTGACCCCTGAGAGGTTATGAAGGGGCTCTGGGGTCTCTCCTTGGGACCCACCCAAGGGTTGGGGGGTGTGGAGAGAAGCCTGGACTGGCAAAGCAGACCCTGCATGCCCCCCATGGAGGGAGACAGGAGAGGGAGCAGATACAGGGCCAAGTATCAGCTGTAAGCTCCAGATGCAGCAGACATCAGCAGCACATCAGGCTCCCTGAAGGAGCCTGGCCCCACCACAGGCTCCCCACACCCAACCAAAAGGTCCAAAAGGGATCTTTGTGTCCCTATCCAACACGTGCCCTGCTCACCGATTCCTGCACAGGGAGTCTGGCCTCCAGGCCCGTGCTCGTGGGGCTGGCAGCACTGGGCAGCACAGGTGGGTGGTCACCAGTGGCCGGGTCTCGGCGTGGCTGCCCAGCCAGAGGGGCAGGATTTGGCCCCAAGGATGGTGTCTGGGCACTGATGGGGGAGACAGGGGGATGGGCATCACTGGGAAGGGAGGAGGGAGCAGCAGGAGCTGAGGAACCTGGAAGAGACAAGCGGATCACTGTGGGAAAAACTGAGGGTAAGTGTGGGGCTGAGGCAGCCCTGTGTGTGTGTGTCCCTGCTCTGTCCCCACATCAGCCAAGCCCACAGCACCCCTTTGTTCATCTTTCCATCTTCCCTCAGCCCGCCACCAACCCAAGCACCTTCAAACATGGACCTGTCATCCTCAGACATGTCACCACAGTGAAGGACATCACAGACACTTCCAGCACCATGGGAATCCAAGGCAGGCACAGAGACAACTTCATGCCCCCACCTCCAGCACCCCACAGGGCACACCCAGGAAGGATGAGGCTACATACGAGGTCGAGGCTGCCAGGCATCATAGACTTCCTGCAGCTCATCAGCCAAGTGTCCTGCGTTGTTCTGGTGCAGTGCCTGGATGAGATCCTGCACCCAGCCCTTCCGGCACCTCAGGTGCTGATAGAACCTAAACACAGCTGCCTGGTTGCCCCGTGTTTCCTCCCGGGCAAGGAGTTCATCCTAGGAAAAACACACAGGGTATCTAAGAGAGGGTCTGGCTTAGAGGTAAGACAGCTCTATGTTGGCATTGGGGAAGGAGCCCAGCACAGCTCAGGAAAAGAGGAAATTACTCTGTCAGAATCGACCAGGCAGGTCAGGGAATCGGCCAGCGACGCCACTCGGATAGTGCCGAACTTCTTGAGGTTTCTCGTAATGTGGGTGTACACTTTGTCCTCAGCCAAACCCATCGTGGCTCAGCACCTGCGGAGGGACAGAGACTCCGGGTGAGCAGAGGCTGCTGGTAAACCTCGGCTGTCTCCAGAAGCCCGGGCAGGCACCGTGCCCGGGCACAGACACTGCAATGAGACAGGGGAAATCCTGTCGGAAAACACGCACAGAGAATTCATCTGGGTTTAAGTTCAACGCTCGGCTTCACTTCCACAAACCTCGCTTCTTTCTCCCATCGCCCACGCCGTGTTTATTCCCACCCTGCCAGTTTGGATTCCGCCGGCAGGGCTGGGGGCAGGGTCACCACAGCCGACAGGGAAAAAACAGGCGGCACGGCCAAGACAAGCGCCAGAGGCCGCGGCGGGAATCCCGCACAAGCAATGGAAAAGCCAAAGGGGAAGGCGCAGGGCTCCCTCCCACAGGGAGCAGCGGCCCGCAGGCCGCGACGCGGCTCTGCGCGCCCTCTCGGCGGGGCCCCCCCGCCCTCAGCGCGACCTTCAGCCCCCGGGGGAGCTCCGGGAGGTTCCCCGCCCGCAGATCCGCCAAGCAGGGCGGCCGGCGGCCCTCCCCGCCGCCCTCACGGCCCCGGAGGGCCCCTCACCTGCGCCCGCCGCCGCCGCGCGCCCGGCACCGCTAGGGAGCCGCCCCCCTGCGTCGCGGCGGCCGCTGATTGGCTGTGGAGCGCGCCCGTCACGGTGATTGACAGGGAGTGATTGACAGGGGGTGTGGCCGGTTCCGGGTCCCTCAGGACAGCGGGGACAGGGACAGGAGGTGAGGGGACAGGAGCGACCCTCCTGTGAGGAGACTGCGAGGGACAGGGACATCCATCCTGTGAGGAGACTGCGAGGGACAGGAGTGACTCTCCTGCCAGGAAACTCTGCAAAGGGACAGGGGCATCCCTCCTGCCGGGATTCTCTGTGGGAGCAGGGCCTGGTCACTCTGGAGAAGAGAAGACTGAGAGACCATCTCACCAATCCGTATAAATATCTCCAGGATGCTTCCAGACTCTTTCCAGCGGTGCCCAGCGACAGCACAAGGATTAAAGGCCACAAAAACCCACAAAAAGCTTCACCCCAATATGACAAAGAATTTCTTTCTGCTGGGGGTGGCGGAGCACTGGAACAGCCGCCCAGGGAGGCCCTGGAGTTTCCCTCTCTGGGGACATTCCAAACCCACCTGGACACATTCCTGTGTCACCTGCTCTGGGTGGCACTGCCTGGACAGGGGGTTGGAGTGGATGATTTTTAGAGGTCTCTTTGACCCTCAGCATTCTGTGATTCTGGGATCTGGACCTGTTCAGCCTCGAGAGCAGACATGTGAGAGGAGACCTCATTAATTGTAAAAACACCTAAAGGTGGCGTGCCAAAAGGATGGGCCAGGCTCTGCTTCGTGGTGCCCAGCAATGGGACAAGAGCCAAATGCAGAAACTGATGGAAGTTCCACCTGGATATGAGGAACGTGGCCTTTCATGCGAGCACTGGCACAGTTTGTCCAGAAAAGCCTCATCCCTGGAAGTGTCTGAGGCCACAGGTGATGGAGCAGCCTGGGACAGTGGAAAGTTGTCCCTGCTCATGGCAGGGAGTGGAACCAGATGGTCTTTAAGCTCCCTTCCTACCCAAAGCATCCTGTGATTGTAATTAATTGAAGCCAGCTTTTCTCATTCTAAATTATAAAAAAGAATCATTTTTCTGGGTTGTCTCTAATTAAGAAAAGATCTTTTTGGTGATCAAAACTTACCTCATGGAAAAAAAAAAAAAAAAAAGAAGCCACTCAGTTTCAGCCAGTAATTTCTGGTCACAGAATCACAGAATCATACAATAAAGATAATTGAATCATAGAATCACAGAATGTTAAAGGTTTGGAAGGGACTTTAAGGATTATCCCAAGTCGTCCTGCCACAGGCAGGGAGAATTAGACCAGGTTCCTCAAGGCCTTATCCCAGCTGGCTTTGAAAACTTCCAGCGTTTGGGCACCCACAACTTCCCTGGGCAAACCTGTTCCTGTTCTCACCATGGTCACGCCAGCTGGCTTTGAAAACTTCCAGCGTTTGGGCACCCCACAACTTCCCTGGGCAACCTGTTCCTGTTCTCACCATGGTCACAGGAAAAAATTTCCTCCTGATATCCAATATAAATTCCCCATTTTCCAACTTTTACTCATTATTCCTTGTCCTGCCTCCACAGCTCCTCCCTAAAAGCCCCTCTCCGGCATTCCCGTAGTACCCCACCAAAACGTTTTGTTTGTAATTAAGTCCTTAATTAATAGTTGATTTATTTGTTAATTAACAGTTAATTAATTAATTTCCCGCTCCGGAATTTTGGGGCGCGGGGTCGGGGGCGCGGTGCCGCCTCCGCGCCACCAGGTGGCAGCACCTCCACGCGCCGGGGGCCCGCCTGGCCACG